ATTGGCAATGATAGAAGTTTACAATTACAATGTGGTTCTTAGAAGAAACATTCCTAAAGAATTTACTGGCTGCAAGTGGAAATAAAAACCGTTTTCATTGGTAAGATTATTGGTGTGTGTATGTGTGTGCGTATGTTTGTACCTTTCTTTGACTAAAGGTCAATCTTTGTGTTAAAAATAGAAAAGCAAAGCCAATAGTTCAGAGTTCCTGTTCACTCAACAAATGCTTAAAGGGACTGCTGATAGGTTAAATATAGTAACCTTTTCAATCACTAATTCTTCAAGGTCCCATTCAAGATGTCTTTCTCTGACATCTGAAAACACAATAAATTTTAAAAACATGGTCACCGCTTGGATCTGAATATGGAGAATGCCAAAAGTGTAGACTCAAGTCTCTCAAAGGGATTTCCCAGAAGGCAAAATGGTAACAGTTTTAGAATTCAAAGAGTAAACATAAGTGCAATTTTTCACTGTTCCAGACTCAACAAATACCCTCTTAGTGTATTAACCACACTGAGGAGACATTGAGGCCATAGATGAATAATGGATGATTTAAAAACAAATGTTGGTGAAGGTGTGAATAGCCAATTTTATTATAGGTGAATACATATATCTTAATGGTATCAGGGAGAGATGTCACCATATAAAAATCGTTTAGGGGGAAGAGACAGAGGAAAGGATCTAGAAGTAATAAGACTTTATTTATTTATTTATTATATTTATTGCAGCTTATTACAGTGATACAAATATTTAGGTTACATATATTGCCTTTGCCCCATCCAAGTCAGAGCTTCAAGTGTGTCCATCCTCCAGATGGTGTGCACCACACCCATTAGGTGTGAATATACCCACCCCCACATCCCCCTCCCACTTGCCTGACACCCGATGAATGTTATTACTGTACGTGCACTTAAGTGTTGATCAGTTAATACCAATTTGGTGGTGAGTACATGTGGTCCTTGTTTTTCCATTCTGTGCCAACAGCTATCTCAAAAGACCTCAGAATTTAAAGACAAGCAGGAAAACCATCACAAAACACAGTGTGAGAAGTATATATATATATAATGTGTTCAAATGTTTATTCAGCGAATTTTTCTTGAGCAGCTACTATGTGCCTGGCACTGTGTTAGATCGTGGAAATATAATGTCAAATGAAACAAATATGGCCAGAGTCCTACAGATTAAGATTGTCATTAATGAGTTCTGCCTGTCTGATCATTAAGCTAAGGGGTGAAAGTAGGATGAATCATGGAATTTTCCATAGGGACTTGGGCCAATGTTCAGTGTCACCTGGGGTTACACAGCCCTTTTCCCATTTGAAAAGAGAGAGAGAGACAGATGGACAGACTAGAGTTTCTTCCAGGGGTCACCTTGGAGGCTGACTTCACTTGTGATCTGAGTCCCCTGAGAGTCTTACTGCACTCTGGCCCAGAAGGCGGGGACCGTGCTGCCAGCACTAAGGGCCTAATTATAGCTGGAAGAGGAACCGGCATCAGTTCCATGACAGGGAAGGAAGAAGAAGTTGGACATCCAGTAAGACCAACACATTATGGAAGAAAATGAGCCAATGCATTTTTAAGCCCAGGTGAAGAAACTACTGATGGATTGGGTTTCTCCCACTCCATGCCACCACTGGTAAACCACACAAGAAACATTTGCAATAGGACACCAGGAAATCTGCCAAAAGAAGCAATTTCCCAGAGAGGGAAGCTGGGGACTGAGAGTGCTGTCTCACAGATCACCCGGGTTGGCAGGAGAGGTGTGCAGTGGGGTGCAAGGCACCCCTCCACCATAGCCCCCAGCTCTGCCTGCTCTGGGATTGAAGTGGCACCAGCCCCATGTTGCTTCTCCGTGGTCATATAACTGTTCATGTTCATTTGTACTAGAAAGTGTCCCTTCCCTTGAGATGGAGGGTGAAGCTTGCCTGTTTCTAGTCCCAACACCATTTTGGGGCCACCTTAGCAGAAAGAGTCTTATTTCTGAAGCATTTAAGAATAACCTCTATTTTAAAAACTGACTTGAAATCTTTCTCCTTTTGTGTTTGAGTAATCATCAACAGGATTTGCTTATTTGTTTGTTTTCCAGCTTTCCTCTTCTTCTCCATTTAGTTTTAATTCTGTTTTGTCTAAAACTTATCAAGTGGTGACTTGCTATGCTGGAGCCAGGTGACAGTCAAGATTAGAGGCTTTCTCTTCTGGCCTCCAAGTGCCTTCTCCTTTCATGTGCTGTTTTACAATTCTATCCAAATAGTCTTAACCCTCAGAATCCTGGTCACGGACTCTAGGTCGCTTTTCTTCTTCTCCAAATAGATATTTCTTTAAGAGTTTGTTTTTGTTTAGCTTGTGATTTTTTGATACATTCATCAAAAGGGGAAAGAGATAATGAGTGTTTGATTGTTATTTGTTTCCTAGGTTCTTTGATTTGCATTTTTTTTTCTTTTGTTTTCTTCCTTGACACTTTTTTAACCTGGAAACTGCCAGCCTTTCCCTGGGATTCTGTTCCACTGAAACACTTTCTCCAATTATAGCCATCTTAAGTGTGTGGGTTTTTAAGTTTCTGTTGAGGATGCCTGTATCAATTAGAGAAAAGTTTGGGAAAGCAGGAGAAGATAAATATAAAATGATTAATATTGTGGATAATATTATACCTGAGAAAATTCTCCAAACGTTTGAGGGAAGCAGTGAATGGGTATGAAAAGATCAAGGAGTGAAGGGTGAGTATCCCTTATCCAAAATACTTGGGACCAGAAGCTTTTTGGATTTTGGATTTTTTCAGATTTTGAAATATTTGCATTATTCTTACTGATTGAGCATACCAAATCCCAAAAATCCAAAATCTGAAATGCTCCAATGAGCATTTCTTTGGAGCATCATATCAGCGCTCAAAAACTTCCATATTTTGGGACATTTTGGATTTCAGATTCTTGGATTTGGGATGCTCAATCTGTAATAAGTTTCTTTTTCCCTACTGTTTCCCAGTAGACTGTCTTCCAGCTTGGCAAGTCCTTTCCTCTCCTTGGCCCAGTTGTGCTTTGTTGAGCTGCCAAACCTTTTCCCATGCCGCTCTTGCTTCTGCCTTCCATCGACCTGCTCAAGTCCCATCCCTAAGGTTTAACTTCTCCACTCCTCCCAGACCACACTCACCTCCATCTCTGAATCCTGATGCAGTGCCCTTCAGTGCCTCCTTAGCCCCTCGCTGAAATTGTCTGGTTCTTTGAAGGTAGAGTTTGCAAAGTTGCAAAGTTTCCTGATAACCTATGAGGGCCTATGATGTTCTTTCTTTCTTTCTTTTTCTTTCTTTTTTTTTTTTTTAAAGAGAATTACTATAGAATGATGAATTTCTCCATTCATTTCCTAACAATTTCTTTGGTGTTAGGACATCATGATGAGTAAACTAGTTTAGAAATCTCCATGGGCTTCACTTCTCGAGGCTCTAGCCATGGAGTACAGGTGCAGCACAGGTGACTGAGCCACCTGCCTCAGCCCCTGCTTTGATCCCAGCCTTCCTGAACACCTGGTCAGCACGGCCAGTGCTTCTCTTTCCTGACACTGGCCTTGTGCATTCTGTCTTTTATACCCAGAGTAACACGCAAATGGCTACTCTTTTGTGAGATCAGCCCTTTGTACGCTTACAAAGATTAGTCAAAACTGGGATGTGATCGGGGGAGTGTTAGACCATACTCTTCCCTCACCCCCATTAGCAAAGTCTGCTGAGCGCATTCAGTGCCTTAGGATTTGGATATTTGAATACAGAGTTTTATGAGATGACAGCTCCACGAGCCTTTGTTTTAGATAGAGCGATGAACTTCCTTACTAGTCCAGGCAACCAACTTGTTTTATAGGAACTGTGAGATAAATAAAACCCAGTTTTTACCACCTCTCTCCCCTCCACCCACTAGCCCCCATGGAATACTCTTGGGTATAAGAACACGTACGGGCTCCAGGGATGTAATCAAGTGAGAATTCACTGAAGAGCTAAGTGGTGCTTCTGTGGCTGTTAGAATATTGCCTTCATTTATTTAAGCTTGAATGTGTCACTTGTTTTTGTGGATAATATGATCAAGACCAAAGATAACAGAATAGGTGTCTTTAAAATGAACTCCGTGAATGTCTTTGTGAAAACTTTTGAGCATGAGATCACGTTCGATGAGAAATCTCAGTGCTTTCTACATACCCAATGTTCATGAATGATATGCCTCTGTCATGGCTCTGAAGGGTAAATTACCTAATTTTCCAGCATATATTTTTGTATGGAAAGAGGAGGGGAGCTGTTTTTCCCATCTATACTCAGAGTCACAGATTTTCAATCATAACAGAAATATTCAGTCACTTCCCCTGTTAAAATCAGACCCATGTTGGTTACTTAATGAAATGATAATATTCTTGATATATTGGGTTAAATAAAATATAGTGTTGGAATTGTTTCAAAAAAGCAGATCCAATCCAGAGTTTTAGTTTTTCAAGATGAAATTTTGAAGATGATGGTAACGATGGTTGCACAACATTATGAATATTTAATACCACTGAACTGTGTACTTAAAAATGGTTAAGATGGCAAATTTTATGTTTATAATATAATATGTTTTATGCATATTTTACAACAATATAAATGTTAATCTTTAAAGAAATAATAAAAAGACAAAAAGGCCGACCCCAAAAGATAATGTTTATTCTTTCTATTACCCAGCACGCTGCTTTACATATAGCAGGTGTGCACAAAAATGTGTTGTACGTAAATAAATGAGAGAGCCTACAGTAATTCCAACATGCTTGTTTTAATGTGCATGGAAAGATCGTTGACTATTTTTAACTGAGTTATGGGCAGAAGTTGTGTTAGTTTTCCGTTCCTAGCACCGTGGCAGCCTATTAGGTTAAATGGTAGATGTCGAAACTGGAGGAATAAGGTGAGATTGTCCAGCAGTTAGAACTGAACATGCTTCCTCTTCCTAGCCTATCTGTAAACACCAGCTCTCTGGGTCTCTTGGTTTCTCTGCTGCGCAGATGCCCAGCCTACAGAAGGAGAGAGAGAAATCTGGAACCAGATCAGCGCTGTCCTTCAGGATTCTGAGAGCATCCTCGCAGATCTGCAGGCGTACAAAGGCGCCGGGCCAGAGATCCGAGATGTATGCCAATGAGAATACTGCACTGACAACACCCTGGGAGGAGGGAAACCACACATGCACACACACAGCAAGATTAAGTAATAGTCCCAGTATTTCCTAGAGTACTAGGAAGAATAAGGAGGGTAATGTGCCCTTAAAAAAAAAATGTATGAGTGGTCCCTTTTGTTCTAGTGCATTAATCTGAGCACATAGTGCTATAGATCATGTCAGATATTAGTTATTTTCTTCTCAGACATACATTTGATATTACAGGACTCACATTAAAACAATAGCATGTCAGTATATGACTTCATTTAAGGGAAACACATATATATAAAGTCTATAAACAGCAGTTGAAATATGAATCAAGAAGTCTGGGTTGACATGTGCTTTCCAACATTTTGTAATGATTTTGGCAGGTTCCACCAGTGTCACCCACAACAGCCAAAACCACCTTGCTTTCAGTAGACTGCAGGTCTGTAGTCCTAAATGTCTCCTGAGATTTAAAAAAATAAATGAAAAAGAAAACAAACAAAAATCATCAGGTTAATTTTTGAGACTTCACAATGCCTTAAAAGCAAGAAACTCCACACTCCTTTTGTTTGAAAGCATTAGGTTTGTGGAAATAGCACACACCTATGCACACACACATATGCACACACATACACACACACACTACTGCTACTGCCCCCATCTTTCTGAAAAGAACACCACTACTGTCATCATCCTCAAGCTGCTGAAACCCAGATGAGACAGCATTTTTGAGAATGTAGCAGTCTATTAAAAGGTGGTTTTTCTCCTTAGGGGTCACCATTTAATTTAGGGTAATTTAGGTAACATTACAGACCGGCAGGAAGGTAATACATATTATAGAGAAAAGAAAATATCTATAGAATTGGCACTTTATAATGAGCACTAACTCTACTTTAGACGAATCAAATGGTGATGGTGAGGGCTGAGTTTGTTCCAATCTAGAAGTGCATCTTTTTGTATTCGAGATAACAGAAACAAGATGACATGGTATCTAATCATAGAGCCACTTGCTTATGTTCAAGTGCTAAAATTTCCATTTGAAATGAGCATCTTGGGGGACAGTCCAATGAACCAATGTTGATTTAAATAGTACACATTAGCAAAGCACAGCAGGGATTGTATTTTTTTAACTACATAAAATCATTTTGATGTGGAGGGTATTGCTTCTTTATAATCAGACAGTGCTAACTATGTTTTTGTAGGCAATTCAAAATCCAAATGATATTCAACTTCAAGAAAAAGCTTGGAATGCAGTGTGTCCTCTAGTTGTAAGGCTAAAGAGATTTTACGAGTTTTCCATAAGACTAGGTGAGTATGCGTTTATAGTGTCCATGTCCCCCATGTGAAGTTCTATGTTGGTGTTTGAAATGGTAGCAGGAAGATCTCAGCATATCGGTAAATGCCCCACATCAACCCACTGTGACTAACAGAGGCCATTCACGGACAACTCTTGTCACTTTTATTTCTTTCAATCTACTGCAAAGTTTCTTCTCCTGAAGTTATTGGCACATTTAGAGTGTCTCTAGTAGTGGATGTCCCTTTGGTCTTATTCTCATCTGCGTCTAAATCTTAATAGTTTTACTGTAAGCTGATCACATTTCTGAAATAGCAGAGAAGGCAGAAGACAGAGGTTACCTGCTGACCCAAAAAGAACTTAGTTGACTGGAGTCATGTGATAAATTTAATATAGTAAAACACAAGGAAAACATTCTTTCCATAAGCTTAAAAAAAAGAATCAAAACTGTACAGGTACAGGATGGTTTTGTAGAAGTAAGAGTAATGCCAAGTCTGGTTGACAGTAGGCTCAGCGTGACCAGCAATATGATACAATGACTGTCCCCAACAGTAAAGCTGTATGAGGTGTCATGAGTTAAAATAGTACATCCAGAATGAGGAAGGGGGTAGTCACGCTCTGCTGTACTTTTTCTGTAAAATGAGTGCCACGGTTTAATAGGAAAACAAAGACATTGAAATGTTTTGAGGAATAATGACTAGGATGTTGAGAGGACTAGAAGCTGATACCAAGGGAAGTTGCTGAATTAACCAAATCAATTTCACAAGGAGAGAGGGATTCTGAAGACTCTCAGGTAGGATAGGGAGCAAGTTCTCTTTACGTTTCCTCAGTGGGTATGTCTGGATCCAATGAACAGACAAATTTTAGCTCAACAGAAGGGAAAAGATTTATCAACCAGGGCAGGCCTACATAGAACAGCCGGACTCAGAAGACAGTGTGTTCCCATAGATGGAAATGTTTTAAAATGGCTAGAGACGCCCCTTGTAAAGATGCTGTATGAGGCATGTAAGAGCTGTGTAGAGCAGGCATCAGCAAACTTTTCTGTAAAGTGCCCGGTAGTAGATATTAATATTTAGACTTGTGGTCTGTCCTTTCTTTTTTACAACTACTCAACTCAGCCATTGCAGCACAGAAGTGGCCCTCGTCAATACACAAAGGAATGAGCATGTCTATGTTATAATAAAACTTTATTTACAAAAACAAGTGGTGGACCAGATTTGGACCACACTTTGCCAACTCCTGCTACTGATGATTGCTTAAATGATTCTGTGCCATGAAAAATACATTGCAGAAAAAACTATAGGGGATGTTTAGAAATAGACAAGTGGGGGTAGTGAAACTGCTGCAAGAATAATAATAGAGATAAATATGGCAGTAGGTTTGCAGAAGAATATTGCTGGGATTAGGTGAGAATGTAGATGCAGAGAAAAGCTAAAATAGGATAAGAAGTCTTTCCCTGCAAAGCAAGTAATCTAACCCACATGTTTAAGGGCTGCTATGTCAGCTCATCTTGTATCATGAATGGCTGTCTCACACACATGATCCAGAACTACATGTTTGTGGTTTTCTCACAGTGTCAGGAACTGGGACTACTAAATATGCGAGGGTCCTGCTGAGCTCAGAGACACATTCACAAAACACTGTGGCCGTGGGAGTCTTCTCAGAGGGGAGGCAGCCTGCTTGGGCATGGGGTCTCCTCTCTGCCTCACCCACATGCGGCACGTCTCACACAGTTATCGGGAAAGACATGCAGAGTAAAGACCCAAGCAGCTTATCCTGAGATTGTCAACTGACACGAGGGTTGTCTTTTTTGAAGGCCACCTCCAGCGTATCTATTTATCCCTTTGGCTTTCAGAAAAAGCTCTTCAGAGTTTATTGGAATCTCTGACCTGCCCACCCTACACACCAACCCAACACCTGGAACGGGAGCAGGCCCTGGCCAAGGAGTTTGCGGAAATTTTACATTTTACCCTTCGATTCGATGAACTAAAGGTTAGGCTGAATATTCAACAAACTTATTCTGAGTACCTACTGTTTACAGCTACTCTGTTAATGCTGTGGGGTGGGTGGATAGAGAAATGAGTAAGATGTAGCCCCTCCTTCCCTAGCGGGACATATAATGTGGTGAGAATTTGCATTCCATGTGGTGAAAGTAATTTAAGATGATGATTTGTATATGGAAATACAAAATCTGCCAAATGAAATCAGAGAAAATAGAGTGTCTGTTCCTCATTGAGAACAAACATACTTTCCCTGAAACCTAGTGTATGGTAAAAAACAGGGCATATTTTAAAATAACGAAGCTGTAGGTCCTTATTTTTAACCAGAAGTTGCTTTGACTTTTGTGTAACAAAGAGAAGTCATGCCATATTTTACAAAATCTAGTGTCTGGGCTTCTAATCACGTCCCCACCTGATGCTGAGAGATGACCTTCTTTCCCTTCTTCTGAATTTCAGATGAGGAACCCGGCTATTCAGAATGACTTCAGCTACTACAGAAGAACAATAAGTCGCAACCGCATCAACAACATGCATGTGAGTCCCTGGTGTCCTCGGCCTTTGCACCCTTCCCCATGGCTCTTTTGATTTCTGCATCAGGCAGAGCACTGAGAGAAGACAGAGTCCCTGTCTGTAATTGAATTTCCAGAGGAGAGTGATGGGGGCTTTTGACTTTCTCTTTATAATTTCATCTCCTCTTCTTATTTTCATCAGCTAGACATTGAGAACGAAGTCAATAACGAGATGGCCAATCGAATGTCCCTCTTCTATGCAGAAGCCACACCAATGCTGAAAACCCTTAGCAATGCCACAATGCACTTTGTCTCCGAAGTAAGTGGAGTGGAGCAATAAGGTGCTTTTTTTTTCTCTTAATTGCATGAAGAGCCACTAGCAGGGCTAACATACATTTTGTGTTTCCATTTAGAACAAAACCCTGCCAATAGAGAACACCACAGACTGCCTCAGTACCATGACAAGTGTCTGTAAAGTCATGCTGGAAACTCCGTAAGTTAAATCAGACATACATTTGTGGTTGAGAGTTCACCCAGCCAGGGTCTGTTAAGATGGTGATGATGATGATGATGATGAGTACCATTGGATCACCACACTAAAGCTGACATGTATATTACCTGCTTTAATTTCAAAAATAACTCCTGGTGTCAGGTGTCATTATCCCCATTTTATACTGGAAGGAACAAACTGAGGCCCAAACTGGTCAACTGACCTCTCAAAGATTGCATAGCATATATGAACCAAGACTCAAATCAAAGATATTATTAGAAGATGTGCAAGGAGCAAAAGGGGGAATGTGCTAAATGGCTGGGCACCGTGACAAATCTATTATACAAAAGATTTGAGAGAAGATTTAGAACCAAGAGTAGAAGTGGTAAGACTGTGATAATAGGGGTCTTTCTCTCTCTCGCTCCCTCCCATTTCCTTGTACCTAAACTAGTTACTAGTTGCTCGGTTTAAAAACAGTTGAGCTCACTGAGGACGAAGCGGCGTGGTTCTGGGGAAATCTGCACTCAGAAGCCTGGGTTCCGCTTACGTCTGTAGCCCCTTCGATGCCTGCAAACACCCAGCCTGACCTCCTGAGCCTCGGTTTCCAGTCTCATGACGTTCCCACACGCCGTCTACTCCGCAGAGTGTTTGGGAAGTCCAGAGGCATCAAGAGCGCCTCATAAAATCTGATCCTGTGTTCCAATGTACGATGGCATTAATTTCAAATATTTCACTTATGCCAAAGCTAAGATTTATTCCAAGACAGAAAGAGTAGTCATCTTCATAGTGGGGTCGATTCATAATGAAGTAGTCACTAAGAAAGCCTCCAGAATTGGTCTGAATTACCGGAATCATCTGGGACCCTGTCGAGGTAAGCGAACAAGATACAGACCTCACAAATACTCTCAGTTCAGTGAATGGTACATAATTTCTTTTAGGTATCTTTGTCAATCCAATTCAATCTGCAGCCTGTGTCTGAACAAAGGAAGTTACTGTGACCGGAGACAGGATAGCTGCTCTGTAGAAATGAGCCTGGTTCTTTTTCTCTATAATGAAGCCATTACTCTCTATAATCTTGGACAGCCAGAGGGACATGCTATAAAACATTCGAGATTGATGGGCGGGGGAGTGATGTACTGGACCAGCTGGCCCACTGAAGGGCGGAGAGAAGAGAATTGACTGCCCTTTAATTTCCCTGTTTTTGCCCTGAATGGCTGGTTGAATAGATGGAAGGAGAATTATCATCACGGGTTTCTTCAAGAGCATGTTAACTGCTTGTTACAGGTCTGGAATTGTTCTCAGGAGAGGATTGGAGGTGTCTAAAGTAGCCAGTTGTGGAGCCGAAACTGCACATGCTCTGACAAGGAAGTGACGTCTCGTCGTTTGCTCTCTCTTCCAGGGAGTACAGGAGTAGGTTTACAAGCGAGGAGACGCTGATGTTCTGCATGAGGGTTATGGTGGGAGTCATCATCCTCTACGACCACGTCCACCCCGTCGGAGCTTTCTGCAAGACGTCCAAGATTGACGTAAGAATAACTGTGAAATGTGCTTTCCAGATACGAGCACACGAATGTTGCCTAACAGCCCCTGCTTCTCTCCCTCTGGGCTCCGTCCCCACAGTGCCCGATCTCTGTGGGACACAGAGCCCATAGTGGCAGCTCTCCTGAGGGGAAGAAGCCCAGACTTCGGCATGTGCTTAGGACAGGACACCCAGCCTCAGCATCGTAGCAGGAGCGCAGCGATGCGGATCCCTGCAGTGGAGCAGTGCTGATCCCCGCAGCCTCTAGGGGAGAGGAGTGGATGAACAGCCACTGAGCTGCAAGCTGCCCCTTCATTACCTATTTGCTATACAAATAGATCGTTTCTTTTTTACATGCATCTTAAGGTGAAAAGAGTTGGGAGATACTGGGTTACAGGACACCATGTCCAAATCCCAAATGACCTCCAACTCCCTCTCCTGCCACTCCCCACTGGCTGCTCACCCGATTTCCATGCCTTTCCTGTCAGGTGAATATGCGTGAGCCCTTTCCCCTGTCCAGAGTGCCCTTCCTCTTCCTCTCTGACGGTGGGTTCCTTTCAGACCCTCTTCACATGTGCATGTGTTCTAGGACCACATTTCATGCGTGTGTCCAGCGTCTCTGCTCCTCTGGTTCCCAGTGCACTTACCGTTTTGTTTTTGTATTTTCTGACTCTCCCACAGAGTTTTTTGACAAGAAAGGAGACCGTGATCTATACACTCAGTGTCCGCCGTGCTGCCTAGCACACTACCTGAGACATAGTGGGTGGCACTCAGTAGATGCCCTGCAGAGTTTTTACTGAGGGAATGAATGAAAATAATTGGAAAACACATGATCTTTTTTTAATTTATTTTATTTATTTTAATTCAGGATATTATGGGGGTACAAACATTTTGGTTACATGAAATGCATTTGCCTCGCTCAAGCCAGGGCTACAAGTGTGTCCTTCCCCCATACAGTGTGCCCCGTTTCCATTAGCTGTGAATTTACCCCCCACACACACCCCCTCCACCTTCTCCCCCCCCCCACTTGACTGGCACCCAGTGAGTATTACTATCATGCGCGCACCATTAGTGTTGATCATTTAGTACCAGTTTGATGTGGTGCTTGTTTTTCTATCCTTGTGATGCCTCACTTCAAAGGATGGGCTCAATCTCTATCTAGGATATATAAGAAGTGCTAGATCACCATTGTTTTTTGTAGTTGAGTAGTAGTCCAAGATATCCATATATCACATTTTATTAATCCACTCGTGTATTGATAGGCATTTGTTTCCACATTTTGCAATTGTAAATGGTGCTGCTATAAACATTCGAGTGCAGATGTCTTTATTATAGAATGTCTTTTTTTCCTTTGGATAAATGCCGAGTAGCGGGATTGCTGGATCAAATGGTGTTTCTATTTTTAGCTCTTTGAGGTATCTCCAAATTACTTTCCATAGGGGTTGTACCGTTTGCAGTCCCACCAGCAGTGTAAGAGTGCTCCTATCTCTCCACATCCACGCCAGCATCTGTTATTTCGGGACTTTTTGATAGAGGCCAATCTCTCTGAGTTGATACCTCATTGTGGTTTTGGTTTGCATTTCCTTAATGATTAGAGATGTTGAGCACTTTTTTATATGTTTGCTGGCCATTAGTCTATCTTCTTTTGACAAGTTTCTGTGCATGTCCTTTGCATACTTACCAATGGGGCTATTTGATTTTTTCTTGTTGATTTTCTTAAGTTCTGTATAGATTCTTGTTATCAGCCCTTTATCGGATGGAAAAACACATGGTCTTGGTGTGCAGGTGCTCTGTTGGTTGTGGGACAACGCACACCTTCTGTTAGCCCAGGGTGCGCCTGCAGCACCAACCTGATAGTGGCCCCCATGTGTCAAGCTAAAGCCTTTCAAGTGCAGACTAGGACCTCTGTGGTGCTATCTTATGCTGACCTGGCTAAATCTGGGTGACACTCTCTGTGTCCACTCATCTGCACAGAGCAGCATCTTGATGCTCACACACTGTGCAGGAAAGAGTCCGCATGCCTGGAGCACCATGAGTCTGAAGAATGCAGGACACATTAGCAATGAGAAATGTAACTCGGATTGCTCATTTTGAGGTTCTGAGTCCCTAGCTTAGTTAGGCAGAGTTCTTCATAGACTATTCATGGTTTTTATTTTAATTATTTCAACTTACCAAGAATGTAAATATTTATTATAAAAAGCTTTTGAAATGTAGGATATCAAAATATAGGAACTTGGCTGGGCATGGTGGCTCACGTTTGTAATCCCAGCAGTTTGGGAAGCCAAGGGAAGAGGATCAGTTGAGGCCAGAAGTTTGAGGCCAGCCTAGGCAACATACCAAGACCCCAACTCTACAAAGAATTTTAAAAATGTTTAGCCAGGCATGGTAGCATGCACCTGTAGTCCCAGCTACTCGGGAGGCTGAGGCAGGAGAATCACTAGAGCCCAGGAGTTTGAGGCTGCAGTGAGCTATGATTGTGCCACTGCACTCCTGCCTGGATGATAGAGTGAGACTCTGTCTCCTAAAATATATATAGAGAGAGAGATAGAAAATTACATGTATCTGTAATAACCTCACCATAAAGAGATGATGACTGTTAATATGTCAGGATACATATGTGCCTTCCTGTTATATAGATGTTTGTGTGAATGTGTGTGTAAATGTACCTAACAAATTAGGGCCCTGTTATGCATGCTACTCTGAAACATATTTTATTTGCATAACAATATATTATGGGCATTTTTTTATACCAATAAATAATTTTATTGTATCCTTTGTGAAGTTTTAACATTTTCATACTATAGATTGAGTATAAATAACTCTGTGAATAACTATAAATATTGTTTGAATACAGATTGAGTTTATTACCTGGTACTCGTAAGATATTCTCATTTACCATAGCCATTTGTTAACTTGTCACAGAGTCAATAATTAAAAATACACTGGGTACAATTATGCCTTGTATCCTTAACCTTTAAAAACCTTGACTTTACATGTCATTTACTGAGTCTTTCTGTTGAGGTCGTAAACAGTTTATCTTCTTCAATCTTTGCACATAGTCTTGATGAAGTCTATTTTTGTTCGTGCAGGTCTCACTAAGAAAGGTTTGTTCATATTGAAGGTTGCGTGTTCCTCTAAGAAAGTTTCAGGTTTACCAAGCACAGAACATATCAAGATGGATCATTTCTTTCTTTTTTTTTTTTTTTTTTTTGATGACATAAAGGGACTCCTTCCAGATACCAGTCTGCTTATAAGCCAGCAGTTATAGGCCGTGGGCTTATAAATCATCAGGGCACCGGCATCAACTGTGAAAACACAAGTGTCTATGTGAGGCCCTGGAAGAGGCATTGTTTAAACACATGCAAAGGGCCAACCATGGGATGCAGAAAGCTCTGGAAACCCAGGGGAAACCCAGAGGGGAGAAACTCATGCTGCTGAGAAGCAGACACAGAGGGTGGTGTTTGAGGTGGACCCTGAGGAAGGTGCGGGATTTCCCTCAATGGACACAGGGAAGGAAGGGAGTCCCCGAAGCAGTCATGAGGCCCAGAGGGCTATGGGCCATGCAGGGAACAGATGCTGATCTTGGGTGCCAGCACAGGCAGGTTAGGGTGAGGCGGTGTTTTCAGAAGATTTCCTTGGTGTCTTATGAAATGACCCAATAAGGAATTGCTCCTTAACCTCTGTCCCCATCCCAGACTTCACCCAGAATTCCAGACTCCATTTCCTGTGGACACGTGAACTATGGCCAGCCCCACACCAAAGGTTCTCCTTTTCCTACAAAGCTATTCCTCCTCCCAGGTTTCTGTCTCCGGTGTTTCACCATTCTCCAACCCTGTCTCATAGACCAGAGCCTAGAACTGTCCTTGGGAACAGTTCTAAGGATTGTCTTCTTTACCCCTATATCCTAAGTTCCCAAGCCCTATGTAGTCACCCTCTGCTCACCCCCATCTCTCCCACCCTCTGCCTACACCACTGTGCCTCCCATGCCTAATACCCCCAGCGGCTCCCACTGGCCCCCCTCTCCATTCTCGCTTCCTTCTGGTCCTTTTCCATGTGGACCACATCACTGGATTGTCTGACACCTACCTAGTGAGTTTTCTGCAGGCAAAGGCCCCCAGCTCCCTGGCATGCTGTTAAACCCTCGCTGGATCCTGCCTTACCTGCAACCCTGGCGGCAGCTCATTACTCACTCCTACGGCTCTACTCATCCTGGGGTGAAACTAGAAATGCCCAAACCGCACCTACTACTCTTCCACCCCTCTTCACATCTGTGTTTTCACTGCCTCTTAAACAGGGTTTACAAGAATACTTTTTACACTGTGATAATGGACTATAAGAGAAGGACAGAAATCTCTGCATCCCAGGCCTGGGGTGGCACGTGTCCCTGGCATGCTTGTGGCCTCTCCCAATCCTGTACCCATGACAGACATCTCTAATTGGCCATGACGTTCTTTCTTGACAAGCCTATATGTGAGCCCCAGATGATTCTCGACCCTGTGTCCAGGCTGCCTCCATCAGTCTATCAGCTTCTCTTGGTCCTTACGGATATACTAGAAGTATACTATTCTACATACTAGAAGTATAACCACAGAAAATGTTTCTCAGAGATCATTATAAGAGAGGCCCTTAATGTAACCAAATCCAACACAGACAGCACATGAACATCTGAGTTTAAAATGAATGACTGTCTTCTTTGCAGAAGGATTCTTGCCTTGCCAAAAAAGACTGCAGGATGTGCATCATATAATATGATCTATATAGATTTAGTTTTCTTGCACTTCCCAAATTATGAGTAAGTTGTATCCAAGGGCACAAAAGCTGGGATACTTGACTAGGTTCATGCAGATACCAAACAAGCAAGCATGGAGCAAACCTGGGCATTTAGCCTCCGTGAGGTTCACATTCTTAAAAATTGTCCTTTATGGGTCCCCTTAAAGATGGTTGAGACACAGACCTAAACCTCCAGGAGTTTCTGGTCTAGTGAGGGAGACAAATTAATCTGGACACTAAACTCCCCAGGGTTCTCTGGCAAATGCCAGAGTAGTCTTGGGAACACAAAGAGGTGTTTGTTACTTCTATCTAGTGAGGGTAGTGAGGTCAGAAGAGGCTTCCTGGAGTCGCTGATCTTCAGCTAAGTCCTAATATAAGTAATTTGCCAGTCAGACAAGGGAAGGAGAGAAAGCATTCTGGGCAGAAGGATGGCATAAAATTATTAGGTGTGTAGTACTTTCAGTAAATCTCTACTAAGCACCAAGTAGAGGGAAAGCCCTGCACTTGATTGTGGAGAACAAGACAAGATCAAAGCCTCAAGTCTTTGTCCTTAAATGTCTGGCAGGGAGAATATACAATTGCAATTTAGTATGAATTAATAATGATTGTGATCATACAGAACCCTCTAGAAGCCCAAAGGAGCAACTTACTAACCCGAGGGCACAGGAAAGCCAGTTGGTCATTTCTGTGCTTGACTTCTACGAGCAGAAATAATGTGATTATGGGCAGGTGTTATTATGGATGAATATTAGCATGTGCAGTATGACCAAAATATTAACAGAAGACTGTGCTTTCTCCCTTTAGATGAAAGGCTGCATAAAGGTGTTGAAGGAACAGGCCCCAGACAGCGTGGAGGGGCTGCTGAATGCCCTCAGGTGAGCTTCCGCTCTGCAGTAGACGCACTGGGGCAGCCAGCCCTTCAGGTCTATTGCAGATTTAGATGCTGTTGGAGACCAACGAGTAGAAGACCAGGCTTAACCCTCTGCATATTTTAACCTTATAACCTGTGTAAGAACCTGTTGAGGTCAGCATCATTTTTATCATCCTCTTTTGGATGGATAAAACAATAGAGAAGGCGAATAACTTGTCAAAGGTCACACTGTAAATAGCCAACCTAGGACTAAACCCAAAGCTGGGTGACCCCAAAGGTCATGGGCCTAATTCTCTGCCACACTGCTTTGTGGTCGCTGGAAATACCCCAGAGCAAGAGGCTTCCAGGATCTCATGGCCCCTTCACCAGTGGTCCCCAAATCTGAGTGCACATGAGGGGTGTGTGGGCAGCTTTTGAAAACACTCTGACCCAGACCAAATGGATCCAGTTTCTGGGCCTGGGGCTCGGGCAGCCACTTTGTGATTGTTTGTTTGTTTGTTCAAAAGCTCCCTAGGCGATTCACACATGCATTAGCCATAACTGAGGATCCACTGTCTGGATGCCTAAATATGTGGCCAGCTGTGGCGTGCTCCAGCTCCTCACTGCTAACAAGTTTTGCCCCGGCAGCAGCTCACTCCCCACGGATGCATGTGTTTAGTTCACTTCAGAGAGGGGCTTCTTATTTTTTGGCTATGACACATCTACACGAATTTGTTGAATCATACTGCTGTGTAAATCATTCCAGCACTGGACTGCAATCTGGAAGGTGCATGGTCCCTGTCGTCTTATTCATGTCTGATTTCCCTCAATTCCACTCAGTGCTGTGGATGCAGTAAGTGTTTAATAAATATAAGTGGAACGGATCAATAATCCTCTGCCCCTGTGCAACACTCTAATTTGATACTCCACTTACAATCACATTGTCTCACTTAATCATCACAAGTCATCTCTCATCTCCATTTAATAAATGAAGCTCACTCCCACTGCTCCACTTGACCAGCCTTTAAAAAATAAATAAATAAAAGAAACTGAGACACACATGAAATGAACAAACCAGACACTGAGGTTGATGCCATCTTGCTGAGCTGCTAAGTCATCATCCTTCAAAACAGATGTGTTATTAACTTAAGAGCCTTACGGAGCCTGTCAGTAGACCATCAGTCCATGTTACACCAGGCTGGCTTTCTATGTACAGTAAGAGGACTTTAACTTCTGAATTTTTTTTGAACTTATCAGCTTCATTCAATCAAGCAAAGCACTGCGTTAGGTTGTGGGTCTCCTCTGAGTGGTCGGAATTTGTATCTCCTGAAGACACTGGGATGAAGTTAGAAGAGCACAGGTTTTCGAAATAGCCAGATCTAGGTTTGCATCAGAAATCACAAATTGTTCAGCCAAGTCTTGAATCGTTAGCTTTGCGATCTGGAGTGGGTCGTTTAACCTCTCCAAATCTCAGTTTTCTCATCTGTAAAATGAAGGCAATAACCTTGCCTTCAAAGAGGTACTGTGAGCAAGATGAAAACGTACACGGAATGCCTAGGACATGGTCAAAGTTTTATTACATGTTAATTACCTTTTCCTTCCTTTGCCTGAAGGATTTCTCCACCAGGTTAATTAATGGGAGGCTGCAGATTACACAACTTTTGTCCGTTTGTTTAACCTGCATTTCTGCCCCCTTGTGGTGGCAATGAGGTTAAGCGCCACCATGAAAGTAGAGAGAAATAAACATTCAAGCTTACAGGAATGTTGCTTTGCAAACCCCAGTTTTGAAATTCGGGACTCAGTAGGGTAGCCTCAACAGTCCAGACTCTGCACTAGGTCATGTGAAGTCTACCTCCCTGGAAAAGGAGGTTGCTTCTACTTCCTCTGCATAATTATTTGACTCCATTAAAAAAAATCTGCTTGTTTTATTAAGGCTAATACAAAATTTCTCTGGAAAGAAGAATAAAATATTCAATCTGTCTGAGAATACTGTGAGCATTGAAGTGTGGCTCTTTGTCTAACTGCATTTGATTTATAAATATCAGTTGTTTTCCGAGGTAAAGATGGGCCAGTGAGTCTTTATTGAAACTTTCGCAGAGTGCTGTTTGCACGCTAACCTCTGTCATTCTCTCCCCATCCAGGTTCACTACAAAGCACTTGAATGATGAATCGACTTCCAAACAGATTCGAGCCATGCTCCAGTAGAGCTCTGCTCCAAGAAGAGGATCTATGTGCTGACCTCAGAAGATGTATATGTTTACATAATTTAATACAGATTGATGTTAATACTTGCGTATTTACATAACCGTTTCCTTCTTGTCACTGAAATATATGGACCTTAATTTGTATCCTGACTGACTCAACCCAGAAGAGCATAAATTGACTTGAGAGCCTTACCTTTGATGTCTGAAATGAAACCCCCTTCTCCAAAGGCAAAATTTGGAGGCTTTGATCTTTGCTACCGGAGTCCTTTAATGACACCTGTAACAATCAGAAATTCCTAATAGGTTGTGGTAGTGTTTTAATTCTAGATGTGTTATCTCTCTGGGAAGTATAGTTTATAGAAACACAAAGTATTTGATTTCCTGTGTCGGCTCAGCTACAAGAAACACAACTGTTATCCTGACAGAGGGAGAGTGGAATCCAAGAAAAGAAAAATGCATGTGGAGAGGCAAGCCCAAGTGTTTTGAATTCAGCACATCCCCTCACTGTCCTCAGACTGCAAACCACATGTGCAACTTTTCTGTTTGCACGTGTTTTATTAATCAGCATATTCCCTTTCTGTCTGGATTTATACCCTCTAACATTCCCTTTTAATTTTGCAAGAGGAAAACCGCCTGTATTTTCATCAGTTACTGGGAGAGCATCAGGAATAGATAGGTTACTGTAGCAGCTGGACGGATGGCGGTGGTTGTCTTGGAGATGGGGCACAGGTTAGAGGAGGGGCACTCAGGCAACAGGACAGCCATCTCCCTGCTTTAACCCTCTGCCTACAGGGACAGGGAAATGGAACTCTGGCTTTGAAATTATAGGTAAGTTTGCCAACTGTCCATGTGCCTGAAGAGCGCTGAGTGCACAGCCCCTCCTACTAGGAGCCCTGTTCTCTGTGGACCATTCAATGGGAACAGAGGTCTCGGGCACCTCATTAGTTACCAGAAAACTGGAGGCATGTAGAGGGAAAAAGAATCCATGAGGTCTGGTTCCCTGATATTTAAAAGGCAACTCTTCCCTAACTCTTCTGCTAAATCATTGCACTATAAAAGCTCCGGTCTGAGTACCTGGATTTAGTCCTGGCCCTACTAATGATACATAGTGTGATTGTGGGAAATTTGTGTAAGCTCTCTGAATCTCAACTTCCTCATGTATAGCATGGGCAATTAAAACAGACAATCTGTGTCAACCCAGTAAGACTCAGAGCCAATAAAATGACTGACTCTACCCTTCTTCCTTAGTAAGTACGGTCCACTAAACATCGCCCCGCCTTGTGTTGTTGATTAACAATATTAAAAGATCTGCAGTAATTCCGAATGTAGATCAGAGCTTAGAATAGAATCTTGAAAATCTTCTATTCTGACTTCCAGTGGGAAAATGGGACCAGAGGATGTGGTCACACAGGATGGCTCCCAAGGTGCTTCACTCTTAACTCCATGCTCTTCCTTTTTACCAAGTGGCCTGTGAACACATGCTAAGGGATGGGATTCCATGCTTGTACATCAATCTGCAATTGGCCTATATCATTAGTTGCCTATTTTCACTAGAAGGAAAAAGTCACCCAGATAGTTAGTGAATGATAATCCTGGAAGTTGGAATGGGGAACACCAGGATTTGGCATCATTTGCAATGTCCCAGAAATGAGCTGCAAGATGCCATTGTTTTCTAGACTTGAGTGACCAGCTGAAATTCCCTTGGATCCTCGAAGAGAAAGGGACAAATAGTTGTTTTGTTTTGTTTGAACAAAGAAATGCAGCCAAGTGGCAGGAAAGATTCCCTATATCTAAGCGTCGGTCAACAGAGAAAGGAAAGGCTCTTTTCCTTGGAGATTTTCAAGCTCAAGAAGTACAGCTGCATGGGTGGAGGTTCTTGTCAGAACAGAAGTATGTTAGGTGGCCTTCAGGACGTTTTCACACCTAGGGATTCTGATGTCCTAGAGGAATCCAGAAAAGCTGGCAACACCAGGTGAGCAAAGTTACTAAGTAGTTAGCTTAAGAAATGTTCTATTCGGCAGCCCTGTGTTATGCCGAGCAACAATTGTCAAGACTAGAAATATAGAAGCACACAATGTTTGTCATCACTGGTTCCATATTCTTCCTTTAGCAGGTGCAGAGATTAAGGCTAGAAGGGAGGAAGGGCTTGCCATGCAGCACAGGGCTCGCAGGACTCAAGTCATGTGTCTATACCATAGCTGCCTCTCGGCCGGCTAAGTGAGGAAATGTTCAGGATAATCGGTCAAGTCATTAAATATATTTATCTCAGAGTAAATAGTTAAGCACAGTTATAATTTTAAATTAGACATTCTATCCAATGGGACCAAACATACAGGAGGGGCTGCTGGCCAGGCCAGCTTGTCTCAAAGCCAAGACTTAGCAGTACGTGGACACTGAAAAGCCCAGGGTGGGAATTGTTGCTTCTGGTTGTCGAGAGGACAAGTTAACTGAATGTCTGTGATCACGAACAGGGGATGGGCCTTGGGTCCACTCCAGAGCTACTGTGGGAGACAAATTCTTTTAACAGACTGTCCGCCAGGCATCAGGAGTCCTTGAACAATCACGGGTTGTTTTTTCTCGTGCTGCATGCACACGTGTCCAAGACTTATGGGTGGTTTAGGGGAAAGTGCTAGCGACAGTGTCAATGTCAATGTTAACTATATTTCATATTTGAGGTCTCATGGTTTTTAAATAAACAGTGTTTTCCATAACTCAGATATTTATTTGGGGGCAAGCAGCAAAGTGAAAATTATGTTTCTCAGTTACCTTGCTACTTTGGCATTAGAACTCTGTTCTCAGAAACCCTTCATGTGCCACTAGGAATGAGTAGTAAAAAAAAAACAAGTAGAAATCAATATTTTAAGTTGTGCTAACCCTTTAGGACTGGAGTGTTAAGAACCAGAAAGGAAGGTTTGCAGGTTACCTTTTATTCATTAATTAATATCATGTTCATCCACATTTGCTCCTAGTCATCACCATTATGTCAAGTCATTAATGATAACCTGAGGTTTTTGATGCATCATCACATTGAAGTAAAAATAATTTCCTGCTTTTCCAAAAGAAAAGTCTACTCAATCTTGGGATCCAATTGTGCAGTAGAATTCAGAAACATCTCATTCAATGTCATATCCTGGACAGCTGAATTTTTTTAAATGTTAATAATATACATTGGATTTCATCTTAAAGAGCCCCAAACCCTGGAACCCGGTTTTCCTACTACATCTATAAAGGCTGTTGCACATCGGAAGCTGTTTTAAAGTTGTTATATGTTGTTTGCTGAAGTCATTGTAATTTTTTTTTTGCCTGCTTTGCCTCTTTTTGTACAGAAGTTTTGAGTGTGAAATGAAAATTAAAGTTTGGTACATATATTTAAAAATACCCCTCTACTTTATATGATGTTCAAGGTTGAGTGGGTGACAAACACATGATGATTATTAGTCCACATAGATATTTACTAAATACCTGCTCTGAGGAAATCACACCAGCTGCCCTTCGCCTTTCTATACCTCAGTTTCTTCAAATAGAACATTTAATGCTCAAAATGTGCTATTGTTGGTACCAGGTGTCTCTTACTCATTTTAGCAAAGGCCCTTCATTATACAAAAGGTAGAAAAGGAAGAGAGACATGATTGATACCTAGAAATGCATGAGACCTGCTTGTCCAGGGATGCTGAGAAACCCTAATAAATGTTCTTTTATTTTCTTTTGAGTGCAGTAGCACTTTATAGATTTGGCAAGATCAGCAAATAACCTATTCCACATAAGTACGTTTTTCACACAATGTAAGCACTAAAACAACTCTTTTAACTATTCATCATTGAGGCTTTTCTAGTAAATTACTTTTAATCCATGCAGTTCTGAAGCTGATCGCCTGAGACCTAATTGTGTTTGCTCTCAATGGGACAGAATCCCCAAAAGAGACTTTCCAATGATGCCCTGTGCAAAAGGCACAGTCATTAGGATTACTTGGGGGCACAAAGGGAAATGAATAGAAATGGGAATTTTTCTATAAATTGTCAACTGGACAAATTTAAACAGACAAAAACTGGAAGGAGAGAGAAGGAAAGGGGCCTCTGAGTGTGTGTACATGTCCCTAATTAAATGAATGTTGAGAGTCAACAGACATGAAAAATGAAAAGGAGAGTATGTCTGTGGTTATCAAAAAGAAAACAGCTCATAAGGAACTGAGGGGTGTATGATTCAGAATACCCTTCATACTGGCTTCATACCCTTCAAAGTTGGCTGTTATTTATTTAGGGTTCTCTTGAAATGATGGGAATGAAGAGCTCCTGAAACCTGGTGAATATTTGCAATCCATATTTACACCTGATTTCACACTTTGGCTTATCAATGAGTAGGTAGAATTCCTAGATGTTTGCTGTTTGAAAGATCTAGATTATATTTGGCCATCACAATTTAAGTGACTGATTAATACTAAATAATATTGATTGATTTAAACTATTCAAATGCATTAAATATTAATACATTAATCTATCAATATTCAAATACTGGTGACGACTAGTCTAAAACTGTGCTGATCTCATCACCTGCATGGTACCTCTCACAGAGTAAATAAAGGGAGGTCTTGGCCACGCTGCTTCAGCTCAGAAGTCAAACTCCAAAGAAGGGAGCTTTTTTTGCCCTGGTCCCATCAAGTTTCCAAGGCTATGGCTGTGGTTCTGTAGCTCTTTCCCTGCCTATTTCTCTTACACCAAAGTCTGGAAATCCCAGAACTGTTAGAAATGGATGCCCTGAAAATACATTGCGCAAAATACCTCCATCGGAATACTGTTTGAAATTGTACTATGTACAATTTTAGATATATCTCACAAATTAATTTTAAAAGAGTGTTTTCGGGGGACAGTTTCTGAAAACTTACTTTAAAAATTGTTTTCTCTATGAAATCTTCCAGTTTTCCCAATCAAATCTCACACTTTCAGATTCTTCTTCCTCTCTGCCTGCATTTTTGTTTATTTTAAAATTTTCCTTGTTTGTATCATGACAGGCTTTGTTTCAAGTTGAAAACTATATTTTATGAACCATTCCTAAGCCACCTAAGTGCTAAGCTTGTCAGGGCTGTGATTTGAGAACCAGAAGTTTTAAGAGGCTCCTTACACCTTTACGAACATGTCTCTTTTTTGTCAAAAGTATTTGGTAGAGGCTATCAAATTATTTTCTTCCAAATGTCAACATATTTGAAAAGGATATTTGTTTTGTATGAGAGAAAAAATACAATCACTGTGGGGAAGGATACAAGAGTGGTGGTTTTATATGTGAATCTGGGTGGGGAGGATGAGCTACAGGGGTCCTCAAACTTTTTAAACAGGGGGCCAGTTCATTGTCCCTCAGACCTTTGGAGAGTGTGCACTGTGGGCCTGGGATGAGTCGGCTGCTAAGCAGGACAGGCAGTGGTGGCAAAAACACCAGGAGGGCTGGATAAATGTGCTAGGCGGCTTGCATGTGGCTCGTGGGCTGTAGTTTGAGGATGCCTGAGCTACACTGTGCACAGAAAAGGTAGAGAGCTCTAGGCTGAGCCAGGTGAGTATTTACTATCTCCCACATGGATTTCCATTCCCATGATGCTGCCATTAATGCACAGCCTCTTCTTCTAAGTTTATCTGAAATCCACCTGTACACCCTGGTCATTGTCTACGCCCTCCATGAAGCTTCTCATAACTACTTCATCCCCTGCTAATCCTCTCTCTTCTGGGTCCCTCATGCATTTCATTTATTTAAACTAGATATAGGCCACTTTAATATTTGAGATGTCTGTCTGTTTTCCCACCAGATTTTGAGTGCTTCAGGGCACAAAATATGTCCTTTAGAAGGCTGGGCTCAGTATAGGCCAGTGGCCAATAGAAGCTGCCTGCAAAAGAGAAACTTCGGGGTCCTGAAACCTGGTGTGCTGAAATGAAACTCTGAGAATTAATTTCTAAAGCTCACCAACAATTCACAATAATAAATTATGTACTCCCTTGGCTGGTCAGTTTTATTCCTGGAGGAAGTATTTACCTACCTGCCAGGATGATTTTAACCTCTGTGGACACGTAGAGCTTGCAGCTTGTGGCCCATCTGCCAGGAGTCCAGATGAGAAATCAGGCTCTTGTCCTGATCAAAAGTCAAAGTTAGCTAGTGCTGGCAAGGGCATGCAGCCAACACGCTAGTCAAATGACATTTGGGGGTGATGGCATGGACAAGGCTGCTACTCTGTCAGAGAGCTGTGTTTGACACACTCAGAGGCAGAAGAGCACCAGGAGCAGAGTTTCAGATTAACCAGACAAATCAATTCAGCACCTTGGATAGCGATCTAGGCATCTTGCCCTAACACTGCACCGCCATTTATCCTTGCCTTTATAAGCCCTATCAGTCGATTCAACTTTGTCTCTAGAACTCTGGTTATCAAAGATAATATGTTCCTTCCAAAAGTGAAGCTATCAGGTAGCTGGAAAAGCATTTTTCTTCTTCCTGGGACTTCTGAATGTCTCATAAGATGGGCAAAAAGTAGTTTTGGAAATGCCCAAGAATCTTCTTGAGTTTTCATATTCATGGTGTTTTTAGATTCAAGCCAAAGTCATAGGAATGGCTCTTCCTTCTTCTTTAGCCCCACACCTCCAGTCCTAACGTGTATTCTTTCTAAAGATCTCTCAAAATATATTAACTTTTCCTAGTCGGTTTTATTTCCTCCAACCATCATGTCCTCCCTAAAAGATCACCTGGCCTTTACTGTTCCTCCTTCAGTCCATTCTCCACACAGCCAACGTTTCTGTGGCATACATCTGACCATATCCATGTCTTCAGCAGGTTTTCTGACAAATGTTCACAGAGACGTTAATTGACATTCAATGAGGGGGTCGGGGTGAGGAGAGAAGATGTCAGTTTTCAAGTATTTGTGAAACAAGGTTAAAGAGTTAATTTTATTTACTTATTTTTTTACTATCATATTTTTTATACATTATAAATCTCCATGGGAGGGTAGACCATATGATATATCAATTCTGAAATGTATTTGTCTATAGACTGTTGTATTTCACAGAACATCTGTAATTTCTTATGGACATTAGCACCCTGCAGAAACAATGCTAAGTCAAACCTAATGGCTTGAGTTGCAAGGCCTTCCTTCTGTGAGATAATCTGTACTTAATTCTTCCATCTCACTCACCTTCTGCCAAACATGAATCACATTTTCACATGCTATGAAACTGTTCACAGTTCTTTAACATATCATCTATTTTTTCATATTTATAGGTTGCTAATAATGTTGCCTCTTCCACATGAAATTTTATTTCTTCTCATCTGCCTTGTGAAATTCTATTCATCCATCACGAAATTTCCCAAATGTTTCTTCTTCTTTGAACCTTTCTATGCCCAGCCAAAAATTAATTACTCTTTCCTATGTGTCCCACCATATATATATAATATAGAGTATTTTAATGTTCTATTAAAGGTGATATTGGATAATTAAACACATAAAACAATAAACACACAGATGCAAAACATTATGATAAACATTCCATCCATATGCATAGTATATAATATTTATATTTCTTAAAATATAATATATTAAATATAATATTTATTTACATCTTATATATGGATGTCCAGCATAGTATATTTTACCTATGTGTTTATTTATAGCTTGCTCACTGGACAATGGATTACTTAAAGTCAGTATCTTTATCTAATTTCTCTCTCTAATCTCTCTAGTCACATCACATAATGGGATGCATGACACTCAATACATGCTTGGGGCATATTTAAATGCATTTCCTCCTCTTGCCCAGAGCTGAAGCCCAGGCCATCCCACCACCCCAAGCAGGATGACCTCATATGCC